AAGTTGTTCACTTTTGTCATGTGAACAACGAGGTTTGATTTACTAGCTCTAAAGCAAAGCAATCAACATCAACAATAGTGTAATGCACTAAAAACGTTTGCAATGTGCTTATCTACAAATTCTGTTGAAATCGACGAAGCGAAGTGCTGTGTTTGGGTTCAAGGTACCACAATCAAAAACAAGCCTGTGCTGCTTACAAGTTGATAGCATTCAACATTCCAATTTGTTTACGCATTTGTCCAGCTCGTGATAGCAGTTTATGATAATAGTTATGAAATTAAGTGTCTATCTTAATCCTTGTCATTTGTTTTCATATTTTTGATATAATTTTATCAGACTACGTCCTATTATTGCTTGTTTTTTTCACTGCGTATCACTCAAATGGCGATGAAATTTTCAACTTTCAACTTATATATTGAATCGAAAACTTCTCATCTGTTTTCATATAGAATGTGACGAATTCTTTGTTGAATAAGGCAAATTTGAACAAAATTTTGACGAGTTCTTAACAGTTTTCATTCGTTTCTTTTTTGGAAAATTTGAGAAAACCTTCCAATCATTCCACACTTCCACGACCAGGAAATAAATTCGGTTGATGAAAAATGGCTTCCAGATCTTGATAGAAGGAAGTGATTAAAGGGAAATTCCGTGATGAAAATCAAACAGGTTTAATAGCGCTTAATTGCCTGAAAAAAGTGGGCACCAAAAATTATCGCTTATTTGATTGTGCTTAAGGTATTTGATGTAAACAACTTGAAAGAGTGTAAGGTAGTCTTTGCTTTAATTGATTATCAGTATGCGTACCACGTGATGTTTTCGTCGGGAGTGATTTCTTTTCGTTTCATTCGATTTTGCATGTGTTCGTTTTTTTCATCAATCTTCATCAATAAAACAACGTCCCAACTCTAATGAGTGCCCTCCTTGATGAGACGTTTAACGCGTAGCTCATTGCAGCATGATGATTTGTTGTCTGATTTTTCCGTCAGTAATCAGCGATCAGAATATTGAAAGTATACCATGCAATAGTCGTTTGTGAGTTATAATGTTCGGTGTCAGTTGGGATTACTAGTTGAAATTCACGATGGTGTTTGTACATTTGTTCATTTATTCATGCATTTGTTTGTCGGTCGATCTGATTGGTGATCAAAACTTGTTCTGAGTACGCGTGCAGCTGTTAGTTGGTTGTCATTTCGTATAACTTGCTTGCAACTTTGCTTGAACACAACCAGTGATGTACTTTATTCAACTGAGCAAGAATCTGTAATCAAGATTTGGGCAGGACTTGTTTAAAGATCATCTGTACAATGGAATTGGGGAAATTCACTAGATTTTCAAAAATTCTGGTGATAATTATGATGAATGAATACTTTTTCACCTAGTTGGAGTGAGTGAAACAGTTCCAATGCAAAATGTTTTCGTTTTCTTCATTAACTCATTCCTCAGCTCAGTGCAAATGCTCAGTCATTCCTCGTCATTAGCCCTGTCATTGTTGTTGTTTTTATCGAAGAAGTCAAGCTTGAGGACATCGTCCTTTAGTGAATCAAATAGCGGTCGTTAGCTAACATCCTTTAGTGAATCAAATAGCGGTCGTTAGCTAACATCCTTTAGTGAATCAAATAGCGGTCGTTAGCTAACATCCTTTAGTGAATCAAATANGCGATAGCGATAGCATTTCACGATAAGCGATGTTATCTATAAAGAGAACTGATCAATTTACTACACTACACTCTTGTGTAAGCTCACTCATCACTCATGCTTATTTATTTGTTCAACAAATACTTGCGTCATCTGTCGGCTTATCATTGACTTGTTGTTTGTCGTCCTTATCGAACTCTTATCAGTTAATTAAGTTCGCTTATCGACGAATGTCGAATGAATACTTATAACGGTCATTTTATGTGTCTAATGTGGTTTCCTTGACGTGGTGTTTGCGTTTTTTTGAATGCGAGAGAGGTCGGGAACCTTGTGACTTTGACACAGTACCGTCTGGTGGTATTTAATGATTGTTTACAACACTGTGGTGGTGTAGTCTCTGAACGGTTCATCACTTTTTCATGATAATCAACATTGATTGTGAACTAATCTTGTTGAATTTTTGTCTTGGAGTGAATTTTTTCACAGTCTGTTGATCAGTTTATCATTTCGTTGGCTTGATAAAATTTATCGTTTTATAATGGTCTTAGAGCTCTGCAAAATTGTGCTTTCTTTCAGAGGTTGTTCATGATTTTGTAATGTGTTGTGTTTGAACTTGTATGTAATTTTAATTGATTGAATAAACAGTATGACTAATTCGATCTCGTACGCAACGATCGCTCGATAACTAACTGATAATGCAATCGATCACTTCGAATGTATTCCTTCATTCATCGTGCGCATCCTCGTAAGCATACGCAATCGTTTTTATGTATGCTCAAATTGGTAACTGTGCATATTTATAGCAACCAATAACCAACAAAGGAGAAATCAAAGGAAAAAATTCGTCTAAAGTCGAGTGAACATGAACGACGGTCTAGCGTGTTCAAGTCAAATGTCGTCGGATTCATCGTGGATTAACGATCCCACAGCTGCCGCATCAGGCCGACTTTCTGAGCAGTCGTCGACGAATCTCCAAAACGATACGATTCTGGATGCAACACTGCTGGTCGATGTTGTGCAAATGGCTACAGTCATATCACCAATCGCCAAAGTTATTGAATTGAATGTAAGTTGTTCGATCTTGATCAGTTTGCATTTCTTTCAATTTTTTTAAAAAGTGTCATCCTCATTTACCGATAACTCGTTAAAAGAGTAGTATGTGAATACAATAAATGGCTCTTTGCAATTCTCCAATCGCTTGTATACCAATAGGATTTTCTTTGAAGCCTTGCATCATCGTTGTAAGAGGATTAAAGATATTCTTTATATTGTGCTCATTATCCATATGTTTTCTTGAATCATATATCTCATCCAAATCATACAGTTGAATATCTCAAAGATCCATCGCACTTGAATGATCATCCATTAGTTATCCATTCACTCAAATTTTTGTAACGAATAGCGATAGTTTTGAATATGAATACATTGTTTTAGCGTTGGTTTAATTATTTGATGTGATGAAATAGCTGAAAGTAATCCGTTTACTGTTGCTAGACTGATTCGTTATTTATCTTGTTGATGCAAATTCAATAATCATTTCTTGTGATCACATTTTTGATTTGTGATCACTTGTGCGTAATTATCATCGTCATTCGCGTTGTTGTTGATTCGTTCATTGTTCAGTCGATGTTTAATGTCTGATGACTTAACACGGGAAGTAGCCGCACTACACCACCCAGAATTATTATCGTTTTTATCAGTCGATTTCCAATCTTGTTATTGTCACCATTTACTATCTTATCATATTGATATCAGCTGTCTGGAGAGGGCGATTTTCGAACTTCCGAACTTTGAGCTGGATTTTAATAAAGATAAAAGCGAAGCAGTATGGAGTGGATGAAATTTCAGGAGGTCTGCAGTGACTGGCATTATTGGTCATCGAGAGCGCTACGCCACTGCGATGATCTACGATTGGAGGTTCCATGCGGGAATGTTCAAGCGTTGACTGTACAAGGCTCTCTGATGCGATCTTCGCATCAAGTAGGTCATTTTTAGGATTTTACTTGTTTTCTGATTTATGAGTGAGTTGTTGGATTTTGCAAACAAATTCGGTTATTTTCATCCGCCACCATTTCATCGGTTCGTCGCATAATGAAGATGATTAATTCTTCATCTTTTAGGCAGTTAGTTGTGTGAACTATCTGTTATCTCGAGTGGAATGTCTAAGACAGTTAACGATATGCTTTTTGGGACCATCCGTTGAGATGCTTAACGATGTCCTGGATGTACTGATCAGTAGTGGTTCGTTTTGCTTTATCAACACACTTTAGTGTTAGATCATAATTTTGCATTTATTCATTCCTATTTGCTCATGAAAAGTTTATTGCTGTAATTACTGAAGCTATATTTTGATTCATTTTCTGACTTGATAGCGGAATGTGAAATCTGCATTTATTTTCCTCAATCTCACATTGTATTATACAAGCGAGTACGTTTAGTCAGCAGCAGTGAGTAGATTCAGTGGTTCATTGGAAAGGGATAATGTTCAGTTGATTAATGCATGAACTTGATCTGCAATTTATTGTTTGGTTAAGTATTGTTTTCAGTGTTGAGCTAGTTGAGCTAGATTTTAGTGATTTGCAGACAAGGTACAGTTGGAGAAAATAACGGTCAGTGGACGACGTGGAGGTCTGCGTGTGGAACGAATCGGTAGATTGATGAGTAAATGTGCGAGCACGCTTCGATTCGCTGGTAAAGTTGGTATTTCGGAGTTTGAGGAAGCGTTGCAACGAGATATAAATGTAAGCGTATAATTCCTGTTCATCATTTTCTTGTTCTATCGCTCACTCATTTTTTTACTGTATGGTTTTCTATCTGGAGTTGAACATAGTGATGAAGTAGTCACGGTCGCCTTGGATTTGAGATGATCTGTACTCGGTGATTTCATTCCTGAAATTCTGTCAGATGACTTGAAGAGTTAAGCAATGGGATAGATCGATATAATTCGAAAAGAAATGTTTACAGTTGAATTTGGAGAGGTTATCGTTGAACAATTACGATTTGTACGATGAAATGAACGGCATGAGTCGTATGAATGAGGAGATGTCTGAAGCTTTCTCGCGAATCACCGCAACACAACAACCGAACAAACTCCGAATAAGACATCTGTCGCTGTCGGCTGTGGGTGGCTTCAATGCGGCAATCCAGCCTTATAATGACTTCATNATAGCAGAAAGAAATAAATGAGTCACATAATTGACCACCTTTCATTTCAACGAATGGGAATTTATCGATACTGTTGTGTTTTGAAGATGGATTGGATTTCATCTGAATTTTCGTTAATGACGACTTTTAAAAATGTTCGTAGTTGTTGATTAATGAAGATGAAAAAGAGAAGAAAAGAAATTCAGTTGAATGCAAATTCAGGTTGAAAGTCTGCGAATAACGCAACAAACGGGAGGATTGTTCGAGGGTGGATCAACTAGACTGCCGTCAGCACCACTGCACAATGTGACATCGTTCGAGGTTGATCAGTTCCCGAATCGATGCCATACACCATCCGAAATACGTGTTGTATTTCCTTCAATCAAGCACCTCCTCATCAATTCGTCGCTCATTCCGCTACGAGATCTTGAACACGCTTTTGCGGTATGTTGCCATGTTGAACAGATTCCCGTTTTAAATTTATTGTGGTGATGGTGTGTTATATGCATATTTTATTCAGTGAATCGTTGTGTTTCTGAGTTCAAATCAATATTTTGAGAGNTTTTTTTTGTTGTGGACCTATCTTATCTTATATTGGTTTTTAATTTCACATCAGTGATGAAAAAGAAAATGAATACTGCTTTGAGTGACTCAAAGTCGATTCTACAGGCGAGTTCATGATTATTTCTTCCTACGCCTTCTGCTTTTTCAATATCGGACGTATGATTTCAGTATGCAGCTGAATGGTTGACAACTTTCGCCGATATCGACTTGGTAGGAGTGTTAACAGCCGAAGTAAAACACGACTGTGGTGATCCACAAAAGGCCGATAAAATTCGATGTCATATTGAGGATTTGGAACGATATGGGGCTCGGATTCGGGTGCAATCAAACGAAAATTTCAGGTAATTGTCTTTCTGTCGTTATCACCTCATTTTGATCTGTTCTAAATCAGACAGTTGATGATTTTTTTCAATTACGAGTTCACTTTGTTAAATTACATTCTGTTCCCTTTCCCCATTCAAGCCTTTTCACGCAGTTCTCATTTCACTTTTAATCTATTCAAATTTTTTTGCAGCTATCCAACACATTTCATAATTTCGAATAACGCTGAAACCTTCCGACTGTCGGTTTGTTGTTTATGTGATCTTTGGCTTCTGTCCGATATCACTGGTGTTCTATGAGCAGCTGAAAAGAAATACTTGGAAGATGGGTCATCATTTTATATGGTAATCATCGCCTCTTTCTCAGAACAATTTGGAAGCTCGGCAGGTTCCTTGAGATAATTGACTATTTTATTGATTCAGTGATGGAACTCGAAAGAAATTATTCTGCTTTTATGCGTTCAGATGTACATATGTGATTGACTAATCCATCTTGAGGTATTGAATTCTGGTGTTATGAAAAATATTTTGCTATGTTTTGGTCAGATTTCGTGCAAGGGATTGTAAAAACTAACCACATAAATGTATATTTATGTATGTTTGCATATGTATGTAATTTTTTCATTGAACAAGACTTGAGATGACATATATTTTGCCTGGAATGAAACTGTATTGATTACTGTGCTGCCACTCACTCATATGGAATTTCCTAACGTTGTTTTTCGACATGACCACTGAGATGTTTCCCAGTCGCTAGGCTGAATTGAAGTTGATGAATTTTTGTAATTAAGTTCGATTTTGCCCAAGTATACATCTGACAAAGAAGTGTTTGTGATGTGTAAAATATAATGAAATGTTTCGGTTTCCTATGATTCGAGCATCGTATGATGAGAATAGGTTGAAGACCAATTTGATATAGTATGAAATGAGGTGAATATTATTGCAGTTACTGAAAATGCTGTTATTTCAATGCAGTTTCATATTTGTTCTCATTAATTAACCGTTCTCTGTTGTCTAATCTTGAACGTTTCGTTTTGTTGATATGCGTGCAGAGCCGCTGACTTCTTGAGGAAATGAATAGTCATAATTTATTGAGTTTCTAGATTTCTGCGTGTTAATATTATTATCTTAACCGTAGAGATTAATTCGTTGCCTATTAACATCGAAATATGTTATCATGATTGCTTCCATTCAAAGTTGTCATGGTTATTCCCAGTCATCCATCCGTTACTGATTCGTATCACTCAATTCGTACTTTATTTATCAGGAAGTTGGAAATGTCGAGACTGAATCGGACAAGATTCTGATTTGTATGTATGTACATTTGTGCGATTGTTTTCTGCACAGCATTCGATTTTTTGGTTTGAATCATTCATGAAATGTCATGACATATACATATATCTTTAAAGAATTCAAACAAATTTTCATTTTGTCCATATTTGCTACATATTCTCGTATGTTTGATGTATGCATTGTGTACAAACTTTTTTGATGTGCTGTAATTCGGTTAATTGAACTGAATTGTGTTCGTTCGTTAATTAATTTATTGAATTGGTTTCCTCAAGTCTTTTTCATTTACATTCTTGATATCAGCTTCGTTGCCGTCACTGTTATTTTTGTTTTTGTCATTATGATTGCGTTCTCGTCATTTAGTCAAAATCATTACTGTCTCTCATTTGCATCGTATTCGTTACTAATGTACTTGATTGGATGGAGATGGAAATTGAACGAAATATTTCATCATTGTCTGCAATGTTTGATTTCGAAGTTTTGCTTTTACGTCTGCTTCCCATTAGTCCAGAAAGTTTCAGAAATTCCCAACAATATCTTCTGATAGAATGCAGTTAATAGGTAGCCTAGATTGTTGCCCCTTTCCTCGACTATTTGATAGCCCCGTGGGACTTGTGGGACAAAATTCGCACATTAAGCAGCATGATTGGATCCGGCCACCATAGTTTCATGAAAGATTTTCTAGATTTGGAAAATGAGAATCTAGATCAGTGCTTTCAACCGGGAAGTTAGTTCTTCAGTTATTCTACGGCCTTATTAGCTGTTAAGCTTTAATTTTAAGACGGCTGGGCTATGCGTACATATTCTATAATATGTGAGCATAGGAATGACTTTGGCTAATTTGGAAACTTAAGAAAATCATTATGTTTTTAGATAATACGATATGGTCATTCAAAGCTTTCTCCAAATGCTTTACTTCTTCTCTTGCTCAGTGTTTTTCCCTTTTCTGTCGTTTATCAGTAATGTGGACAATATCACAATTGAAATATCAGTATAATCTTATGCACGTAGGTTCCTTGCAATGCTAACATCGTTATTGTGTTGTCGTTTTAGTACTGATCATCACTGATGTTGTTTCTAATATTTTGTTCGTGACAGAATTATCCGATAAGGATGTTCATCGTTTTTGTTCTATGGCTATTTGAAGTTGTATAATAAAAGTTTCTTGTATGGATTGCTTCTTTGTTTCGGCAATGTATACCAAATCTTTCACTCATAGTCAGTCTTCAGAAACTTACCTACATTCAGAACCTACACTCAGACTGCAATAATCATTACATGCATTATCAAGGGAACAGCAGAAGTACCATATTCAAACTCACGTTGTCCTCAGATGCTCTAATAATTATGGAAATGTCTTCAGACTATCGGATTCTCCAGATTCTCTTGTTTCACAAAAATGCCTATGTTTTGCTAGGCTTCAGAAGAAATGGTTAATCTCTTCAGCTGCCTCACATTCCCAATTGATTGCATTGCCTTTCGTCGAAACAAAACGCATGTTTTCATCACTGACTGTAAGAATTTCGAGAATATCAAGCTGAGAACTTCAGAACCCCATAATCGAATCAAAACTATACCTAGGTTCGTTAAGGCGCAAAGCTTGTCCCGTTTACCTTTCTTGATCTCACTATCTTGAATACCAATACCTTGCGATACACGAGGTATTCAAAAATGCATAAGAATAATGAAACAAATGAATAAGAGGAACAAACAGTGCAAATTTGGCTTCGTCTCAAAATTCGTAACCTTACACTGCTTTACAATTGGCTTCGTTCCAAGAGCGGGAATTTAAAAATTCCAGAAACAAACGTCACAGACAATCTATCCTGACCGTTCTGGAAGGAGGCCCACTGACCGCTAGGCGGGTACCGAAGCGCCGTTTTGCGGTCAGGGTCCCCAGAGAAGAAAAGCCTGACTTCCAGTTCAACGTATCTTCGGGTAAAAGACGTCTTATCAGCCCTGACTATTCCGAGCCGACAAGCCATTTACTACCCGAAGCACCAGAGCGACGGCTGTCATTCAGTTAGCACAAACACCTCTCCAAACCCGCCCAATTCTCGCGAAAACATTGACAGCCTCGACCTCTGGCTGCAACTGGAAATCAGGTGGAATCGAATACCGCCTAGCTAGTGAATACCTCGCCGTTACTAGTGACCCAAATTCCATTGTGCAAAAAATAACAATTTACACATCCGTCCGTAAACAGTGGATAACCCTACGCACGCGGAAGTCTTTCACTAGCCGGACAGTACCGATTGAAAGAGCTCTTCATAAC